ACTGCAGAGACCTGATACACAGAATATTAATGATTAATTCATTATTAATGTATGAATAATACAGACGTTAACGTTTCATTAGAAATAAAGAGAGAAGGATAAAACATGAGGTAAGATGCTAAGAAATGTATTTTAAATAAAAATATGATTAAATCTGAAGAAATGTCGCCAATATCATCTGTAGAGCCGTCCAATCAGGAGCAACCAGCTGTGTAAACAGGAAGTCAGTCAGTGTTTCAGAGGTAGCACTCATACAGTTTATAATGAGAGGGAAATATCTATTTATGCTAAGCTAACTGATGTTTTTAGTCAAATATGAACATAAAGTTTTGTTATGTTATTCTAGTGACATGTAATTTAAAATCTTCCATTAAATCATTTAACAAGTTTCCGCTCAGATATTAGCATGCTAACGTTAGCTTTGTCAGTTAGCTACCAGCAGTTACAGCTGCGGTTAGTATCGATAACTAATCTCTATGGGAGAACTGTTTGTGAACTGCAACCTGTTTTCATTTAGTGACTAAACATAATGTCAGTCAGATTCCAGTCTCATATTAATGAGATGGATGAGCTGCAATTTTCTGATGTTAAACTCAGAAAAAACAAAATTCTTGTTCTTGGCCCCAAAAACCTTAGAGACTCACTGTCTAAAGATATAGTTACTCTAGATGGCATTAACTTGGCCTCTAGCACCACTGTCAGGAATCTTGGAGTTATCTTTGATCAGGATTTGTCATTTAACTCCCACATAAAGCAGACCTCTAGGACTGCCTTCTTTCATTTACGTAATATTAGAAAAATTAGACACATACTATCACAGACAGATGCAGAAAAACTAATCCATGCATTTGTTACTTCAAGGCTGGATTACTGCAACTCTTTATTATCAGGTTGCCCCAATAAGTCCATTAAAACGCTCCAATTAATTCAGAACGCTGCAGCACGAGTACTGACAGGAACTAGAAAAAGAGATCACATCTCTCCTGTACTAGCTTCTCTGCATTGGCTCCCTGTAAAATGTAGAATTGAATTTAAAATCCTCCTCCTCACCTATAAAGCTCTTCATGGTCAGGCCCCTTCATACCTTAAAGAGCTCATAGTACCCTATTACCCCTCTAGAACACTACGTTCTCTGAATGCTGGGCTACTTGTGGTTCCTATAGTCTCTAAAAAGTAGAACAGGAGCCAGAGCCTTCAGTTACCAAGCTCCTCTCCTGTGGAACCAGCTTCCAGTTGTGGTTCTGGAGGCAGACACCCTGACCACATTCAAGAGTAGGCTTAAGACATTCCTCTTTGATAAAGCTTATAGTTAGGGCTGGATCAGGTGAGTCCTGAACCATCCCTTAGTTATGCTGCTATAGGCCTAGACTATCGGGGGATTTCCCATGGTGCACTGAGCTCCTCTCTTCCTCTCTCTTTCTGCACTCATTCATGTTCCATTAATGCATGTTACTAACTTCACTTCTTCCCCGGAGTTCTTGTGCTTTCTCGTCTCGCAGGTTCTCATGGATCCTGGTGGAGCCTCCTGCCATGGTCCTGCTAGATTGCCATTACCAATACTGTTGTTGCTGTGCACCTGTCTGTCTGTCTGTCTGTCTGTCTCTCTCTCTCTCTCTCTCTCTCTTACCCCAACTGGTCGAGACAGACGACCACCCACCTAGAGCCGGAGGATCTGTCCTAGGTTTCTGCCTTTTAACAGGCAGTGTTTCCTTGCCCTTGTCGCCAAGTGCTTGCTCATGGTGGTACTGTTGGGTCTCTGTAATTAATGTTAAAGAGTTCGGTCTAGACCTGCTCTATTTGAAAAGTGTCCTGAGATAACTTCTGTTATGAATTGGCGCTATACAAATAAAATTGAATTGAATTGAAAATTAATGAAGATATTTTTAATAAAAACAACATGAACAAGTGAAACTGCTGCAGACTGAAGTTGAGCACACGTCAGTTATTGACCGATTTCTGAGCTTCTGTCTGTTTCAACCATCTTTAAATCATTTATTCCAGATAAAGAACAGGTTAGAAACTCATGATAAACACAGACACGTTCCTCAGCTCACTTCCTGTTTTATTTAAAGGGTGACAGTTCAGTTCAGCCAGAGTTCATCTGATCCATCACAGAGAGAAACTTTAATCTGAATCCTGTCGTACGCAGAGAGTCACACCGAGCCTCCGACTGAACACAGACGTCTGGATTAAGAGATCAGAAGTGTTTCTGTCACAGTTCACAGGTCGATGAGAGGAAACAGCTGACAGTTAACTGACGGCGAGCAGGTCAGGTGACAGCGGCTAATTAAGACCTGTCAGACAGAGAGAAGAGGAGAAAGAGGAAGAGGAGGAGGAGGACAGGTTGTTTCCTCCTGAATGAAAACTAGTTTACTCACAAATAAATCAATAAAAGCCTTTTCATCTTGGTGCCCAGAAAGTGCAGTACAAAGAGCAACAGGAACAGTCGGCGGTGACTTTTCCTAAACTGAGGCGAATAAACTAAAGCTTTATTTTGAAAGGGTAACTTGACGAAGGTAAAATGAGTGTTTTTGTCTCTGGAGTCTGGTGGAGAGTGATAGTGATATTACGGCTGTTTGTGGTTAAACTAAAGGTCTATCTCTGTAGGGATCCTTTCCATAATGCTGTCAGACACTGACAATAACAACCTGAGTCTGTCAGTGGAACAAACAACAACTACTGTTAGTGGAACAAACAACAACTACTGTTAGTGGAACAAACAACAACTACTGTTAGTGGAACAAACAACAACTACTGTCAGTGGAACAAACAACAACTACTGTTAGTGGGACAAACAACAACTACTGTTAGTGGAACAAACAACAACTACTGTTAGTGGAACAAACAACAACTACTGTTAGTGGGACAAACAACAACTACTGTTAGTGGGACAAACAACAACTACTGTTAGTGGAACAAACAACAACTACTGTTAGTGGAACAAACAACAACTACTGTTAGTGGAACAAACAACAACTACTGTTAGTGGAACAAACAACAACTACTGTTAGTGGAACAAACAACAACTACTGTTAGTGGGACAAACAACAACAACAACTGTTAGTGGAACAAACAACAACTACTGTTAGTGGAACAAACAACTACTGTCAGTGGAACAAACAACAACAACTGTTAGTGTACACACACACACACACACACACACACACACACACACACACACACACCTTGTTCTTCTGTTCTTGTGGGGACCATCGTTCATTTACCTTTAAGTTGACAAAATGTCCCCACTTTGTAAAAACCTCCCAGTTTGTCCTCGGACGGACAGACAGACACTCTCCTCCAGCCAACAGGTTGCCGTGTTGACCCTGAGCATCCCTCCCCTCGCCTGTTCAGCCTCCATGGCAACAGTTACTATGGCGACTCCCCCTCCTCCATCTCTCTGCTGCGTCCTCTGTGATGTGAGCCGGGAACAAACCTCAGCACTGAGGGTCAAAGGTCACAGGCAGTAATATTTATCATATTCATGTTTGACCAATATTAGATCCCTTTTGATGTAATATTTAAAAAAATTAGATCATAATTATTGTTTCTGAAACATTAAACACAAGCTAACATGAAATAAAAACCTATGAAATGATGAAGACACTAAAATCTTTAATATGAAAAGAAAATGAAAAGAAAAATGTTTTGTTTTATTTACTGTGTTTATGATTATCTGTGATGTAAAATGACTCTGGGTCACTGAGTCTGGTGGGCTGTTTGTTTTTCAGAGTTAGAGTGATGCACCGTTCTTCTAAAGGACTTAAACCAGCGTATGTGTCTGAGGAACCAATAATCTGCTCTCTGTTTGATGTGATGTTGTGCTGTCAATCACTGACCCACCAAACGTCCCTCCTGTCCTTCAGGGGTCTGATATCAGATGTTATTTCCCCCCAGTGTCGGTTTTGGGATGAAACTTTTATCTTCAGTAGTCGTGTGCGTTTCCTGAGTGGATTAAAGCAGCAGACAGACTCGTCTGACATTTACGCTCCGTCAGAGATATCAGTTCATCTCCCGACGAGTCCGCGCTGGAGGATTTTAGGTCTGAACGCTGCTGCTGAGCTCTGAAATCAGATGAGAGGAAGTGAAATGTCAAAAAACAGACAAACATCAGCTGATTGAAGCTGGTTCATCAAAGCCAGCGACGCCCCGGCAGACTGAACCAGCAGCTCACTTCCTGTCCGGGTCCAGATGTTTCACACTCGCTCCAGTTCTTATCTTTGAAACATTTCAAGGTTCATCTTTGTTGTGTACAGTTACCATGGTTACCGTGGGACGCTGATACAACTCATTATGAACTCTATAAACCTAGCATTAGCATTAGCATTAGCACAGCTAGCAGATCCACTTTAGATGATGTGGAACTCTGTGATTGGCTCAGATACATCCAATCAGATATGTTTGTGGGTGGAGTCAGATGACTGTAACCATGGCTGCGTTCAGTCTGATTGAATATACACAACTTATATCTGAATATAATTTACTCCTTATTCTTATTTAATGATTATTTTAATGGCTCAACTTTATTTCAGCGGTTTTGTATTTTGTTACTTCCTGTCAGTAACTGATGGTTAAATGTCCTCGTCTGTGTGTGTTATGAATAAAGTTGCTTTGAACAGTGTACGTACAGACGCCTGAACGTTCACACCAATCACACAGCTCCAATGTTTGTTAAGCAGATCAATAACCTCAGACTGAAGCACAATCAGCCACCGGGAGCTGAAATATTTCCACTTCCTGTTTAAACATTTTTATTTAGAAAATGTCAGAAATGGATTCAGTGTCCTCAACAAACCCAAAACCTCCTTTATTGTCCCAATCAGCCAATCAGCTGCTGAGATATTGTCCATATAGCTGATTATTAATGCTAATGATGCTAATTGTCCAACATATGCAGGTTAGCATCAGTCGGTGTAACACTTGGGAGTAAAATCTGAGGAATAAACATCAGATCTTCATCATGTCTCTGATATAAACAACTAACAATGAAAATCACAGAGTAACTGAACTTTATCTTTATTAACATTTATGATCCACTCGTCTTTCACATCTCGTCTTTTCTTTAGAAATCATTATAAAACTGTACAGTAACAAAACAAATAAAAACAGTCTGAATACATCGTTAAAGGTCAAATATTAAAAACTGTGTTTCTCTTCGTCAACAACTGAACGCAGGACGACAAAAAATGTTTTCATGCACTTCAAAAAGAGCCCGAGGAGGAGGAAGAGGAGGAGGAGGAGGAGGAGGAGAAGGAGAAGGAGGAGGAGGAGGAGGACAGACTCAAAAGGTAAAAAATGGAAATAGAGAAATGTTCTAAAATAAAAAATCCTTTGTCTGCTGACTTTGTTTGAATGAGAAAGAGGAGGAGAAAGAGGAGGAGGAAGAGCGAGCTCCTTTAGGAGATGTTGGAACTCTTCCTCGTATCGCTGCCAGGAGCTCGCTCAGAGCTCTGGTTCCCAACCTGGTTCCTTAAGGAACCTTCTATAGAAAGAAACTCACACAGAAAGAGTCCAGAGCTCCTGATCCTCCACGAGACAGACAGACAGACAGACATTTGTAATCTGAGAGAAAGTCTGAGTCAGTGTTGGTGTCAAAGCCAGCGAATGAATCCAGTATGACGAAGGCAGAGACTGAGGTTTGCAATCTTCCCTCCTTCTTATCACATAAACACAGCGTCTACTCCAAATATCTTCTCTTTGCATAACAGATCTAGTAGTTTCCTTTAAGATCAGCACCATAAAAACAGACATGATAAGTAGAAAAAAACATCATAAATAAGGAAAATAATACTTCAACTTCATCAACGTATTAAATTAGGTATAATAAATATAAAGGCACTTCCAGAGCTTTCATCCTTTTAGAGACCTGTTCCTCATTAATCTGATCCAGGACCAGCAGGGAGTTCCTCCAGACGTCTCCAGAGAGAACAAACATCAAATGAATCCACAAACGTTAGATGTGTCTTCAGAAACTCGTCACCAACGCGTCCTGTCTTTACTTCCTGTGTCCAGAGCTGTTGGATAAAGTGACGTTTTAGAAGAACTGGATACTGCAGGGTGTCCTCTGTTGGTCTGTTGGGATGTTTCACACATTACACAGCCTCCGGTCAGTGAGTGTAATCTGGATGAGCCTCCTGCTCCCTCCTTCAACTCCTGTTTGAATCTTTTGTGTGAAAATAGTAAAAAACGCCGCTAATCTTATAGATGCTAACATGCCAACATCTACATAAAAGGCTATTTGAGAACCAGTATGACAACAGAAACTATTGACCCTTCCTACATCGTTTGGAAGCTGATCCACTTTCTCATTTCGTGTATTTTATTTCCCAGGATGGTGAAGTCACGGCTCTGATTGGCTAACCCTGACCAATCCCACTCCTCATGCCTAAACGGAACCAACCAAACCAACAAAGGCTACGAGTACCAACCAATCAGAGAGTAGGGCTCATCATGACTTCACCATCCTGAGGCAAAAAGTGTGCTTCCTGTAGATATGCTATATGCTAAGCTAATCTGTTATCTGTTGAAAACCACATTTTGAAAAATGTTAAAAGATCAAATAAATACACTACTCACAAAAAGTTAGGGATATTCCACTTTCGGGTGAAATTTAATGAAAATGTAAAAAGTTGATGCTACAGTGATATTATATCATGAAAGTAGGTCATTTAAGTAGAAAGTTAAATTACGATCACCTGGAAAGGTTATAGTGTATTTTATGTACATTCTGAAATTTCATCCGAAAGCCGAATATCCCTAACTTTTTGTGAGTAGTGTATATCACGTAGTCACATCTTAAGTTAGCTAATGTTGGCTAACTAGATTACTAATCAATCAATAGCTAGCTAATAACTAGCAACGTAACTCAATAGCTAATGATTGATGTAGATTCACTAGCTAATTAGCTAGCATTTTGCTAACATTATCTAACTTAAGACGTGAATATATATATGTGTCTTATCTTTTAACCATCTTCAAAATGTGGTTGTCTTTTCAGCGTAAATTAGCTTAGCATATAGCATATCTTGCTCAGCCATGATTGGAGCACAGAGCAGGAAGGGGCGGGGCTTATGAAGGGGTAATTAAAGCCTATCTGGAGAACGAGACCCTGTAAATGCTCCTCAGATGTCTCCCCAGCTGATTCCTGTGACACTGAAGGAAACATGAAGGTTCTGCAGATATAAGAACCGTCTTTTTTCTGTGGATTTATGGTTTATTGATCAGAGATAACGATATCCTCACGGTGATCCGTCCAATTGTTGTTGTAGATATTTCACTGGGATCAACATGGCTCCACACAGATGATACAGACAGTAATCATCGCCACTGTGGACGTCCTGTCAGACTCTTATAACGGCGGTCTGTGGTGGGTCAGGGGAGGGACCGCTGGGGCGGACTCACAGTGGCGGGGCAGTATCCAGCTCTTTTAAGAATCCTCTTACACCTCCACTTCTTGCTGCCCTCCCTGTGTGGCGGTGGTGGCTGTCGTCACGGCGATGTCAAAGCAGGTCTCCATCATGACGCGGGACTTGCAGAGGTTGACGCAGTATTCCAACTCCGCCGTGGCCTGAGCCAGAGCCTCCAGGTACTCCTGGGACTCCCGGTCCAGGTCTTGGTCGACGTCAACTGGAGGGAGGACAGAGACAGGAAGAGATGGGTTAGTGTTCAAAACATTAAAATATCCTGATAAACTGATTTATGATCAATATTGATCTTAAAGGTTCTCTGTGTAACATTAAACTGTAGCTAACAGCGCCACCAGTGGCCGTTCAGTGAACTGCAGTCAGCGTCCTGTTGCATCATCCTGGGCGTCGGCCAACAGTGACAAACACTGAACGCTGTAAAATAACTGTCAATCATATTCAGAATAACGTTACTATCTGCAATGTTCCTATATTTTATTTGGACCGTTAGCTCAATGCTAATAACTACAACCATTTATTATTATTATTATAGAAATAAAAACAAGAGGAGTTCAACATAAAAATCTAATAAAAATTAAAACTAACTCCTCAGTAGCACAAAATAAGAGAATGAAATGTGGACTGTTAAATATCAGGTCTCTGTCCTCTAAAGCTGTTTTAGTGAATGAATTAATATCAGATTATGATATTGATTTACTTTGTCTTACTGAGACCTGGTTGTCCCACGAGGAGTATGTTAGCCTAAATGAATCCACCCCCCCCAGTCATATTAATACTCACATTCCTCGAGGCACAGGCCGAGGAGGTGGAGTAGCAGCTATATATGATTCGAGCGTTTTAATGGACCCTAAACCTAAACTAAATTATAATTCATTTGAAAGCCTTGTTCTTAGTCTTTCTCACCCAAACTGGAAAACACTGCAGCCAGTTCTATTTGTTATAGTGTACCGCGCTCCTGGACCGTACTCTGATTTTATATCTGAATTCTCAGAGTTTCTATCAAGCTTAGTCCTTAAATCAGATAAAGTAATTATTGTAGGTGATTTTAATATTCATGTGGATGTTAACAATGACAGCCTTAGTAATGCATTTATATCATTAATAGACTCAATTGGCTTCTGTCAGAGTGTAAATAAACCAACTCATTGTTTTAATCACACTCTTAGCATCCCTTAGTTATGCTGCTATAGGCCTAGACTATCGGGGGATTTCCCATGGTGCACTGAGCTCCTCTCTTCCTCTCTCTTTCTGCACTCATTCATGTTCCATTAATGCATGTTACTAACTTCACTTCTTCCCCGAAACTCTTGTGCCTTCTAATGTTTTAAAGAGTTCGGTCTAGACCTGCTCTATTTGAAAAGTGTCCTGAGATAACGTCTGTTATGAATTGGCGCTATACAAATAAAATTGAATTGAATTATTAAATTTTGTTATTAAACCACTTTGACGTGGAAGTGATCTGATCTCTCTGTGTCGTTCTTCTCTTTTAGGTTTGAGTGACTGAATGTAAGTTAACGTAAAGTCTGACTGTGTGTGCGTGTGTGTGTGTGTGTGTGTGTGTGTGTGTGTGTGTGTGTGTGTTACTTTGTGTGTGTGTGTGTGTGTGTGTGTGTGTGTGTGTGTGTGTGTGTGTGACTGTGTGTGTTACTGTGTGTGTGTGAGTGTGTACGTGTATGTGTGTTGGTGGACAGTGTACTGTGACTGATGGTGCAGACACTGATGGTGCAGGGCATGCTGGGATACACTGATGAAGGCTGACCAGGACTCTGTATCTGATTTATGAGCTGAGACCAGGAGCCTCTCCACCTGACCCCCATGTGGCTGAGAGGAAATAATGTCTTATTGATCTCGGGACACATTCGGGGCCTCTGCCGACTCTTTCTTTACTTTCTGCAGAGCTGAAGAATCTTTTGTTCGAGGTGACCTGAGAGTTTGTCCCGCTGACAGAAATAATAAAAAGATGTAAATATAATCCTCTCCCTATGGGCTGTTTGTCTTTGCTCCAACACTCTCCTCTCCAAACAGCCCGGAGCACCGCGAGCTGCCTCCTTTTGTTCAGAAGAGCCAGAAATAGAAGCATAATGGAGCGAGTTGAGCTGCAGAGGATGAGGGTTTAACCGGCGAGGCTTCGGGGCCGGCGGCGACACTCAGCTGGAAACACACTCTGTTTGTCCACTCGGCGTGTTCGGGGTCAGGAGCTGCTCAGTGCACTCATTTGCCTTTTGTGCTGCTGATGGAGGAGGCTGCTGCTGTCTCTGGTTCTCTGCAGAGGATCTGGATCCACACACTGAATTAGGATTGTTTGGAGCAGGTTGGAGCTACTCTGGGCTGACAATCAGTCCCTCCAGGGTTCCTCACGGTGTTATTGGGATTGTTTCAGCCTAAATGTCTGATTTCATAGCAGCTTTTCTGAACAGTTGCGACACGTGATGTTTTTAGGCTTTTTTAAAAGAAATTTAAAGAAAGTCTGAAGAATATTTTAGATCAAACTACTTGTTTTTACTGATTAGAAGCAGGGAACTAGACCTGCTCCTTAAACATTTCTTCTGGTCTTCTGGATGCAGTCTGATAAGGGAGAAGATATAGTTGCTGTAAAACCAGAAGCACGTCTCCTTTTACGAGCCTGGACAAATAATAGGTCTCAATTAGAGGCCTGTTCCAAATAAAGGCTAAGTGACTGAAGAAAATAAACTTTTACTGTATATATGGTGACTTATCTTATCTATAAACATATATCTATGTGAGACACAGTGTCAGATTACTTAACCAACGTTAGCAAAAGTAGCACCAAAGTTTTAAGTTACCAACGTTTCTGAGTAATTTTTACATTCGAGAAATAAAATGATGCATTGTAACACATCATGTTTTCCAGAGCTGATAATAATAAAAATAGACCTTTTTCACAGCTGCCATTTCCACATGAAATAGTAGGGCAAACACACTAATGATACTGATTATTAGGTTCCATTCCATTTACTGTCGCAAAGCCTTTCCTGCTATTGAAGTAGCTAACGAGTTAATTTAATGTTAATCAATAAGTAGTTTGGTAACAAACCAACAGTTTATTCAGATTACCTAAAGATCTTATTTTGGCGGTAATCCCTCACTGATATCTTTCTATCACCAAAAACAGATTTATTTATTTATTATTGATTAAAAACATTAAAAGCATTAATATCGTTGGTGAGTCCTTAAAATCTATCAATTGAACTACATGTGGTCATCAAATCTTCGATAATGTTATAATGACTATTATTATTAATATAAATACATTTAATTCATTTAGCTGAAAATGTAGTTAGTTGGTGGAGCCTCCTGCCATGGTCCTGCTAGATTGCCATTGCCAATACTGTTGTTGCTGTGCACCTGTCTGTCTGTCTCTCTCTCCCTCTCTCTCTCTCTCTCTCTCTCTCTCTCTCTCTCTCTCTCTCACCCCAACTGGTCGAGACAGACGACCATCCACCTAGAGCCGGAGGATCTGTCCTAGGTTTCTGCCTTTTAACAGGCAGTGTTTCCTTGCCCTTGTCTCCAAGTGCTTGCTCATGGTGGTACTGTTGGGTCTCTGTAATTAATGTTAAAGAGTTCGGTCTAGACCTGCTCTATTTGAAAAGTGTCCTGAGATAACTTCTGTTATGAATTGGCGCTATACAAATAAAATTGAATTGAATTGAATTGAATTAACAATCTGTACAACCCTCGATCTAAATGAAAAAGAAGTGGAATATACTGGCTTTAAATTAGGAATCAGTGCGCTTTGAATCCCATTTGAGTTGCTGTCTCCGCTCTGTGAGATGATGTCAGGATTATACTCACACTCTCCGCTCCATTTGCTCGGGTCCAGCATCAGCCGGCTCTTGGCTTCCTCCAGCTCCACCTTCAGCCTCTCGTGTTTGCTCTTCAGCTCTCTGATCTGCTGCTGCCTCTTCTCCAGCATCCTCAGCCGGGCGTTAAAGTACAGCAGACCCTGAGGACCAAACAGTCAGTCAGTCAGTCAGTGAGTCCCGACCTGGAGCCTCTGAGGTGTGAGCGGTTTACACAGCCCAGGTGGAGGGTGGTGGAGGGGGATTAGTGGCAGTGGAAAGATGGGCCTCTAACCTGCTCTGAGACTTCAATCTGTGTCCACTGCTGGATTTAATTAGGAGCCAGCTGGAGATAAAATTAGCATGGGCGCTAATCTGCTGGCTGTAGACTTAATCTGCGGGACGAACGAGCGGGGATTAAGGACAGCTGAGGACAAACAGGTGACAGAGAGGTGGATCAGTGTCGCCTCTCAGCTTCACTTAATTACAGGTGTTTAATGGAGGACGTCCCCACTGAATGGAAGCACCTTCTACTCTCATTTATCCATCAAGGCTTTTTATTTATTCATTCTACTCAAACACATAAGGATGAGGTTACAGGTGTGTTTTTTTGGTGTTGTTTTACAGGAAGACAGAATTATCAGATTTTGATATGAAAATTGAAAGAAATTGAGTTTTTTTGCAGAAAATAATCTAGTCAACAAAAGTTATATTATTTTATATATATATATGATACTGACACATTTGGTTCAGCAAGATAATCGTCACTATTGAACTCCACTTTCTGATTTTTGAAGCGTAAATGCGAAATGTTAGCCTATACCTCAAATTAACTAGCTAATGTTAGCGCTGTCTCCAGGCTCTAGCTAGTTAGCCGGCTAGGTATGTAGCATACGCAGCTTTGCTATAAAAGTGAACTCCTATAAAACTGTTGAAATAACATTTTTGTAATAATGAGTTTTTATAATTTCTTAGAAAGTTATTGCTTCATTATATTATATTTGACACAATTTATCTTTTTAAAAATTAAAAATTTATTTATTTATTTAAAATTTAACACATATAAAGACAGTGTTTGTTGTCTCATTTACAATAATCACAATAACATTATGTGATTTACTTTTACTTTTTAAAAGATTTTTATTTGATAAATTATTACGGTATTTATTATTTATTTTAAGATTTTTGTGGATTTAAAATAGTAAAGTATAGTAACACTAATTTGTATTGAAATCAGCTGACGTAACAAACAGAGGAGAGAGAGACACAGATTTGTGCTGATTGGTGATAATATACTGATAAAGTATAACTCACCTTTTCCACGTCATGGAAGGGCTGCTGAGAGAAGACAGAAACACAGAGAGGAAGATAAACTGCAGATCATCGTTCTCTAATTGAAAATAAATCAGATCTCCCTGCAGTGGTTCCTTCCCTCCACACACTGAAGGTTAATGACCCGTTAACACAGAGAGGCGATGGCCGTAAAGAGCAACCAGCCGAGGCCAAACCTTCATCCATCACTGCCTCCTCCTCCTCCTCTTCCAGCCATCACTCACATCTAAACTAATTAAGACTTAAGTGTAATTGACTGAGTGATAAACTCAATTACTGATAGCTCTAACCTCAGTCGAATGCTCCTTTATCATCCAGGTTCAGAATCAAACACAGTCACATTTTACAGGTAATGCAGCTCAGTAACAAGGTGAACTGAAACAGAGCTTTTACACTCCTCAAACTACTCATTCATTACATTTATCTGGAGTCCAGTGAATGTTTGCTGACTTTCTCTGGATACATTTCTGCCTATTTTTTATAATCACATTTTAAACTTTCCTTATTTCACGTATCAGTTTCTCAGCTGTAAGTCAAACCTGCCAGGAACCAAAAATATTGCAGCTGCCTATAAAATGTCAAATCTTTATACACACATAACATATCAAAATCAAACTATGTACAGTCTATTTACATGTAAAGTGGTTTTAACTGAACTGCTTTTTGTGTCTTTTAATTGAAAGTCTATACATAAGTCTGTACTGTACTGACATTACTAATAATTCATATTTATACACACACATTCTTATTTAAATTCTTCAAACAAGTTTGTAGTTGTCTGTTCAAATATTTCCAATGCGATTGTTACACTTTTTTAGGTGTTTTAAGTGTTCTTACAGGATAAGAAGGTTTTTTTTGCTGTGTAATACAGATTTGTGAGTGTTTCAGCATTACGACCTGAAATACCTGAGTTTGTGTTCAAGGCACAAAATATTCATATCTGTGCAAAATAGCCTCGATAACACATGTTACCGCTCGCACTCTCTCTTTACTAATAACAACTATCATTTTTAAAATATTTATTAAAAAGTAATGTTTTATCTGAAACTTACATCAAAGCAGCAACACGTTCATTTAAACCCGACAGGTCACAAAATTAAAAATGAGGTACTGAAACTGAAAGGTGCATAAAAGTACTGATATAGTACATTAAAACTGCAATCATAACTTCTGGAACTGCCTGCTGACAGCGTATGGGAACTACTGAGTGACTTCTGTAGTTTTATATTCATTATTGTTCATCCTCTGTCCCGATAATGTTCAGTTAATTCTGCAGTTTTATGTGTCTTGATGCTGGAAAATCCTTTTTAAGGGTAAAGTGGCCTTACTGAAGGTAACAGTGATTTACTCTTTATATTCAAATCCATCAGCCTGTGAATTTGTAGATTCTTTAATTAGGGACCGAGCCAGCGACCAGTGGAGGTCCCTATTGTTTTTCCTTGATTTCTTACCTATTATTATTATTTTTAGGAACTTTGATTGCGTTTTTGCCCCCCTGAACAAAAAAACGAAAACTCAATTTTATTTGGCAAAGTTGTCAGGCCTGGTGAAATATTTGATATTCTATGCATCACTTATGGGTCGGCCACTAGGTGGCGCTACTATTAAGGAAATAGCGATTACTTTTTTGATACTTAATAACTCCCACATCGTTTGTCGCACATTCAAAACTCAATCTCCCCATATAGGCCCCGCCCACTGCCGCCCTAATTTTTCTTCGCTACAGTGCGAAATGTCCGTGAACTACTTTTTCGTGTTCCTCCTACGCGCTTTGTCTGATTTGCACAAATTTTTTCACCTAGCACCCAATTTTGAAATTTCTAAAAATAAGCACGCTATAAAATTAAGACTTCCTGTAGATTTTTCGTCAAAAAAGGAAGTGGAGTATTTCTCCACATTGGTATGTGCGATTGACACCAAACTTCGGTCCATAGTTCCACATGTCTTCCTTAGGCATTGTGCACAGTCTTGAACAATTTGATGCCACCACCACAAGGTGGCGCTCTTTAAAAGTAAAACGTTTATATCTCTGCATAGGTATGTATGATTAAGATGAAACTTGGTACGATGCTTCCCCATGGCTCCCTGAGGCTCACTTAAAAAGGACAAAAAAAATACGCCACTAGGTGGTGATCTTTTGGCATGATAAATCCCTGTGCGGAGACCGTAATAGTTATGAATATGAAATTCCCAGGGCACGTGTAGAGTAGTGCCTGAAGCTCACAAACAAAAAATCGTGTTTGTCGTGTGTGTAGCACCCGCTACAGGATAAAAAAACAGCAGCCCCGGCGCCACGTTTTACCGATATGTACGAAACTCGGTAGGCACGTGTAACATGCCGGGACATACAAAAAAGCCTCTTGGACCCATACCCAAAACCCCACAGGAAGTCGGCTATTTTGATTTAAAGTTTCACTTTCGGCAAACTTTTCGCGTTGTATTTGAACAAACTCCTCCTAGGGAATTTATCAGATCTACTTCAAAATTGGTCAGTACAGTCAAAAAATGGTGCTGATTAAAAGTTGTGCTATTTGTGCATGTACGTTGAACGGCGTGTCCGTGGCATGCCCTCAAAGTTGGCCAGGTTGAATCGAATGTCAAATTGTGATGCTATTTCCAGCATTTAAGGGCTTCTGTTTTAACTAACTCCTCCTACAGATTTGATCAGATTGACTTCAAATTCGATCACTTCAATCTACACACATTGGTTATCAAAAGTTGTGCTATTTGTGACTGTATGTTTAACCGTGTGCCCGTGACGACGTGTCGAATTCCACCGATTGGCCATCAAACAGATAGTACTCATATCTTCAGTGTACAGTCCCACCCTGAACACGTCCTCATAACTTCAGCGTACATGATCCAATCTCAATGAAACTTCACGTGTTAGATAACAGTCCCACCCTGAACACGTCTACATGACAATATTCAGACATAGTGATAGCGCCACACACTGTTAACAGAGTTAACACAAAACACATTGTTGATGATATGTGTTGACTATGGTGAGGGGGCGTGTCTGTGGGGTGGCAGGAAATTTTGATGGACCGCCACAAAACACGAATTCGCTATAACTTGAGTGTACATTGTCCAATCGGCTCCACACTTCAAATGTTTGATAACAGTACCGCCCTGAACACGTGTACAGGACAATATTCAGACATAGTGATAGCGCCACCTACTGGCAACAGGAAGTAAGCGCTGCGTGCCGATTTTGAACTGATTAACGGCAGATTTTCATGTTGTGGTCCACACGTGTTACGACGGCACGCGACGCGGCTGCAGCATGCCCCGAGTTGCGTGGAGTGCGAGGTCCCGCCCAACGCTGCTTGCAGCTTTAATTTATTTATAATAATTGCTGAAGAATTAGACATGGTTGCACCTTTTTTCAAAAGTCAGAACATATAAACTGAATAGTTTTCAGAATCTATCCACACAAATCCCTCCTTAAGCTCCACAGCCTATTAAATATCATTCTATGCCGATGATACACTCATTTATTTGGCAGATGTTCAGAATTCACTTGTGCGACTCAGTCAGAACTAACATAATGTTTCTTTCTGGGTTTCAATGTAAACAGCGTTACTTACTCAGAGACGCAAATCAGCAGTTAAGCTCTACTCACTACGATCATTAATTTTGAAGATTATATGAAATCATAGAAAAACCTTAGCCGAGCTGATAAATATCTAGTTATAAAAAATAATATTTTATCCTCCATAAACTGTTCAGTACTCCGTTGATTCTCAGCATTAGATTAGATTTAACTCGACGGGTGAATATGTGTGAAATCTACAATTATGACTTATTTTGTGTTGCTGTTGAAAAATGTATGAAAAATTCTTCCACTGAGTTTGCAAACATTACTGCACCATAACAACTGAATTCATTCAAAAGTGACTCACTCAACCTCTAACTGAACGTTTTGAAGCAGTTCAGGGTCTTGTTGTTTCAGAAAGTGATTTTTAGAAACAATGCAGTCATTAAACATCCTCCTGAACAGAAATCTGAGCAGATGGAGTCCGCCTCACCTCTGACCCCGTCATCACCTCCCTCCTCCTCTGCAGGCGCTCCACGTCGTCGATCTCGTACACCTTTATCTCGAAGGGCTCCTTCAGGGAGCCGCCCAGCGGTGGCAGGTCCACCCACTGACCCCCCACCTTCCTGCCCAGAGAGGAGGTGTCCGGGAGGGGAGCTGGAATCAGACGCCGCCGCTGGAAACCTGATGAAAGTCAAATGAATTAATTGATAAAACAGATGTTTTGTCCTGGCGGATATTTGAATGAAGCTTTATTGAGTTCCTGATATCAGCAGATACACAGACAGCTCATTATTTTTAATTATAGCCTCATCTTTTCACTCGGTTTAGTGCTACCAATACCACTGTTCTGTGTCAACAACCATTTGCGCTGCTGATAAGCTTTTAACACCTCCGCCGTCAACCTAAAGACCTCTATCTTATTTTTAATGACTTTGTACACATGGCTGTCAGATTGCTGCTGTTCAAATTAATTTCATGATTAACTGCAAAGAGTGAAACCAGAAGCAACGGCACAAAGAAAAAGCTATTACTGATTTATTAAAAACATTGTGGATCGCTGGGAGAGGACTCAGAAATAGTGACAGATTGAGGAGGAGAGTGTGTGGGTGTGTATGCTTTGGAGTGGTGTGTAGTGGATGGGGAGGGAGGGTGTGTGGGTGATAATTGGAGTTGGATATGTACACCGGGAATTGCCGCGGCTTCATGAAATATTCATGAGGCAGAAACGAGCCAAGATCCACAGACTGATGGCAGGCAGATCACACAAGTGCTGATTCCATATGCATCAGGCTGCCTGACCTGTGTGTCGCTGCCGCCAACAAGCTGCATGAATCACAGTCAGCTGCTGTGAGGCTCAATACACTACAACATCGTCCCAGATAACGTGCACGCATGTAGATTTTACGATAATGCTGGGCGGAGAGATAAATTCATGCAGTGAAGTATGAGGGAGGAGAGCAGCCTTTGATAGATGCTCCCACAGCAATAATACCTGTTCTCCACAGTGTGCTCAGCATTCATGAAAATATTATATAGAACAGCACAAATTGTGACGGATGGGAGCACATTTTGGAAAAAGTCATAAATATGTTAATTTCTGGATGTAGCTTCCAGACGAGTTTTATGGCTCTTTCACTTTCTGGATCAATACATTGAGAAAAAGCTGTTGAATGTCAAATCTGAGTATTAAACTTTGAGGATATAAAAGCTCATTTCAATAATAATTGGATAAGAAGAACAAGTGCCACAGCCTTGCCTTTTGAGTATTCACTTTTACATTCCTCTACATTAGCTGCTCACAGACTTTTAATGCCAGCAAGTTATAATATATCTAAAGAAAAACAAATGATGCTACACATAGAATTTGCTACTATAGTTACATCAGATACTACTGACTACATTTATCTAAAGCAGTGGTTCTCAAACCTTTTTCCATCGGTGTCCGTTTTATTAACCAGAACACTTAAACCAGGCGGCAGGGTGAAGTGACTGCGGCAGTTTTTTATTAAAATAATATGTATTGATTTAACAATGCAATAGTTTCAGAAAGGCTAAATAACAACAACATAAGGCTACTGTTTCAAAATGAAAGAATTCATTATTAATCAGAGTACCCACTGGCAGAGCGCTGAATATGTCTTGAATTTATGAGGGGTATAAAAGGACAGCTGACCTTCACTTCCCTGTCGTTTCTCTTCCATCTGTAGATTATTACAATGGGACAGTTAGGAAAAGTTCTGTTTATAACCACGAAAAGCAGGTGAACAGGTAGAGATCTCCTCCTCTATTGTACTATGGACGGCGCGGCCAGATCATTTTGTTGTTTTAGTCTTTTTTATAGACAGAAAGCGTAAACAGAGGGGCAACAAATAAAACTGAGGAGGCAACAAATAAAACTGAGTGGGCTAAACCCCCTTTAGCCCGCTCGTGGTGCCAGGCCAGACTTAAATGCTATATTTCAAATTTATAGAATCCATCACTAAATTTATGGCAAACCACATTTTTGTCATCATGCAATGACATGACAGTATTGTAGTTGCATTGTCTTTGTCATAAGTTGCACGTACAATTTAATGAGAAACACAAGTTTCACTGAGGATCTCTGTCGTTCTCTGTGGCTGGAAACTGCAGTGAAATGTAGTTTATCTAACTTATACTGACATTTTTTATTTAACTTGTTATAATATAATTTCTTTTATGCAATTATGCATGACTAATAATTTTTAAATTAACCTTTAAAAAAAAAAAATTCTCTAGTACCCCTAGGGGTAGGCGTTCCTCCATTTCAGGAACACTGATCTAAAGTATAACTATATTATGACACAATAGCAGTAGTGTATAATGTAAGAGCAGATTTAACATGTTTTTTTTTTTTTTTTTATAACTTAACATCTGTAAGCTAAAATGCTCATAAGAACAAAAGATAATTAAAATCTAATGTACTCATGATGTCCTGAATCCCTGCTGCCTTGAGAATGAACCCTCTTAGATTTTAATGACCCCATTACTTTTCCTCTAATGCCACATTTTAGCTCCATAATTGGTAAGACTAATTGAAAATATTCAATTTTGAGGTAAAACTTGTGGCGTATGTCGGGGTTTTCAGGGGCAGAGAGACGGAGCTGCTGCTGACCACAGACAGCTGCTTCAATTCAGGTAGCGCTGCAGTAGAGAGCCGGGGCAGAGCCAAAGCTTCTGGAGGAATAAACATCTGTAGTCACACCGGATTCTGCTCTCATCTTATTTTTAAAACTTTTGGGATTAAAATGTGGATTTATCTTCACTCTCTTTTCTCAATCTGTCTGCTGAGACAAAAACCAAATAATCGGTGCCACCTTTTTCTATCTTTTGCAAAGTGGACTCACCATTTCCTCTCTTCTTGGGCGATTTAGAAACTCTGCTTCTATTGGACGAGGACACTCCACTCTCGCTCATGGAGTCATGAGCTGATGAAGTGCTGCCAGTGGTCTCACTGTCTCGGATCATGCTCTCATAGCCGCTGCTCCCCCCACTGTGGTAAAACAAGGCAGTGCGACCCATGGCGGGGGGCAGCTCCCCACTGAGGATGCTGCTGTTGTCACTGCCGTGCCCACTGCTGTAACGCTGTGGCCTTCGAGGCGCAGTGATCTTGCTGTAAGGTGATGGTAGTGGCGTGTTGATTGGCGACCCGCTGACACTACTCATCCCACTGTCAGTGCCATCATTTCCTGTTGCTCCGGGCCCCCTGCTGACCTGCTTCCTCGGGCTCCCGGTGGCTAGCTCACTAACGCGGCTGTTAGCCGCCCTGCTGATGGCCTGCTTTGTGCCCATGATGGTGCCTCTTCCCATCTTGGCTCCAGTCCCTGACCGAGCTGGAGACTTACTAGTTGGAGGTAGGCTGGTGTTGCGACCAACTACATTATCAAGAGGTTTAGAGGAGGTGCTCAGGCTCTTGGAACTACTGGTAGACAGGGTCCGAACTTTTGATCCACCAGATACTGCTGCTCGCGAGCTGCTGTTGCCTTTGACCTGCCCTAGTTTGCTTGTAGTTGCAAAGACACCAGGAGAAACTTGGGAAGAAGCAGCAGCAGATGTGGAGGCTGATGCTGGAAGCCCCAGTCGTGGCACTGATCGGTTGCACCTGCTGTTACCTCCTAAAGTAGCACCACTGTTCTCCCTGAACAGCTCATGCTTGGACCCAGCTAAAGTTTGACTCTCACATCTTTCCAGAGACGTCAGACTGCCATAGTACCTGGAGGACTCTGCTTTGGCCCCACGAATCTTTAGGCTAGAAGTTGTCCTGGCAGAGCCATGTTCAGGTTTTACACTTGATGTCCTGTGGCTGAAAGAATCTGCCTGCAGCCTGATGTTGAATTCTTCCTCTGAGGTTGATGTTTTAGGAAACGAGGACTTTCCAATGTCGCTGCTTGTTTTTAAGGCACTTGGAGATAGTGCAGTCCTTGTCTTTTGTTCTTGGCTTGGTTGTCTGACAGGTGGAGCAGGAGGAGAGATGTTTCCAGATCCAGACTTGGAGATCACGATGCTTTTATGCTCGTTTGACTTTTTTCCCAAGGACGAAAACCTCAGGGTACCCATCACTGAAGTGCCCTCATGACCCCATTTTGATTCAGAACTCTGAGGAATGGAAACAGTTCCTAGAGTCGTTGCACCTCGGGTGAGTCGTGGCAGCTTGATGAGAGTGTCTCCTCTCCTGCTGCTGAACCTCTCACAACCATCCACAATCCTCTGAGCTGAAGATGACCCTTGTGCCTTTGGAGGTCGAGGTACACTGTTACTGTTTCCTCTGGGCCTCTTAAAGGAAACACTACTCATGCCACTTCTTGGTGGCTTACCTGCAGAGAGAAACTCAACCTCTCTGGGATCAAAGTCACTGCTTCCCTGAAGCAAAAAGTCATCATGTCTGCCTTCCTGTCTGCTGCAGCTCACAGTTGCAGATGAGGTAGGCTTGGTTTTTCTGGGAAGACTGGAATGGGCGGTGTGATGGGGGTTCTGGGCTGAAGTGTTTAGAGTATTGGCTCTCATCTTGAGAGAGCCTTTGAGAGAGGCTTTGGTTGAGTCAGGGGAGGGAGGACACTTGGTAAAGAAAGGTTTGTTCGGAGTAGCGTGGTTACTGTCCAGCTCTGAGAAACAGCCACTATCATTCAGGGAGCTCTTGATGCCATGCTGCAAAAATGGCTGTTTAAGAAATATACTTGGCGAGGTCAGCGTTGATGCATTCTCTGCTGACATGTTTTTGTCCCTCAAGTAAAGGCTTCTTATTGAATGAATGCTTTCACTTTCAGATGATTCAGCACTCACTTCCCTGGGCCAAGAGCCAACAGCTGACTGCTTGTTGCCATGTTGGGAAACCAGCCTTTCCTGGCAGGCGGTGCCAACCTCAGCCCTGGGTCCCACAGCTCCTTGCTGAGATGTGTAAGCATCATACTCGTCGTTAATACTGCTGATGATGCTTACAGGGCGGGAGCCAGAGGCTACTGCCTGCTGAGAGCAGTCACTGTTGAAGCTGAGTAGGTTGGAGGGGCGGCCATTGTCGGGGATGAGGCCATGAGGAAGTTCCTCTACAACTGTAAACACCAGCTCATCCTCCCCATTCAGCTCCACAGGCTGCTGCAGTGTAACTGTCGTCCTCAGGAAATTCCTGTCGAGGCATCTTCCTAACAGAGTTGCCCGAAGATCGTTCACCTCCACGGAGCTTCTGCTTGTATGAGGGACCCTTTCCGGGTTAGGGGACCCCACTGGTTGGTCGTGCCTCAGTGCTTGTTGACTCATACCCACAGGGGGAGTCCTGCCGACAACCTCCCTAGGCTGAGATGCAGCCCTGAATGTCCTGGGTAGGGATGGTGAGGCCGACGGCTTAGGTACACCTCCTTTGAGGTAGACCTTCTCTCGCACAACAGGTTCTAATTCCTGGGAAAAAAATCCACTGGACATCACCACACATGGCTGAAAGGGGGCTGATAGTTTCTCCCCATCTGCACTAGTTCGTTTGGAAGTGTCCATGAGGCCACCGGCTGAAGGTAATTTGGATTTTTCCTGATCTGGTATATTTGTGCTTGTTGTTGGTGTACTTTCTAAGAACCCGTGGGAGGAGTTCTTATCAGATTTGGGTGGAGAAGTTGCCTCTGTGGGTTTAGTGGCTCCAGTCTGAGTCCTGAGCGCTGCTGCTTGTGGTGCTTTGCCTTCTGTGCCGAACACAGCTGGGCCCTCGCTGCCATCTATGCAGTCAAGTCTCTCCTGCAGCTCTGCAAATGTGTTACACTTGAAGTGATCCCCATCAGACCTGGGTGCATCTTTGACTTGCTTTTTATTCAGGGAGGGGATGATGGGAACAAAGGACGGTGGTCCCTCGTTGTCGCTTAATTCTCGGTCTGAGATGGCCGTTCCTCCAGGCCCAACGTAGATGACGGTGTCGCAGGAGTGTTCACTGCTGGAGGAATAGTCCGGGTCGCTGGAGAGCAGCAGAGGCGTGTCCGGGTCGAGGGCCACGGTCCGTGGGTGGAAAGGTCGCAGATGAGGAGGTCGATGGGACGGGCCTTCCTCACAGGAACTCTCCCCTCCGGATGAGCTGGAGGCATACTGCAGAGAGAGAAATACTAGTATTAACATACTAAAAGAGACCTAAACTATACAGCAGTCAACCTGAAGGCAAATCCAATTCTGGAGCGTCCTCTGTCGATACAGTGTGAGGTTAAAAGTGCACACTGTGGACTAGATTCACATTAATGTCAATGAGATGTAGAAGGTGTTTCCATATGGCTTTTTCAATCTATATAACACAAATACAGCCTCTAATTAGGGTGAAAGCCTTTTCATCTCACCGCAGAGACTACAGTCCCCCTAGAAACAGTGATATTGATTATCTGTCATATCATTGCAGAAAGACTCACTGAATTATGACTGTATGACTCTGACTCAATTACACAGATTTACATTATGGATTTGAAGGTTTTTACTGTCACCAGCCTCAGGAAATTAGCTCCAACTCATTCAGAGATCAAAACCTTTGTATCTCCCAAAGAATAATCGGAACATTTTGAAGAAACCTCTTAAATCTTTTTATTATCTTTAAATTTAAAGTAACTTCAATGTCAGAAATGTCATCTATAGTTTCTGTATATTTGATAATAAAGGCCAGTGCACCATTTTTTTTTTACGCTCCATTCACATTTCCCTGTTATTTAGTCACATTACATGTATCGTGGTATCTAAGCAGGGAGGACATCAGTTGTATCACTCCAGAGATCTTGTAACAAAATTGTAACAACTAAACTAAATAAAATAAATAAACTTTTGTAAAGTCCCACAGTGCCCTTCACGTGGACATATTTTAGGGTTTTCTTCCCACAAAGGAAAACAATCCATGAAGAATTGAAGAAAGACTGACTCATGTTGGATTTCTGAAAACAGTATTGATTATTTAGTATTTACATTTCTGATCAATCCCTTGTATATATACATATATAGATATGTTTTTTTTTTTTTTTTCTTGAAATTGTGTGAATGAAGCTGAAAAGGAAGTGTAACAAATAAAAATCATCCAGTTAAATACTGTTGGGACTAGATTTTCACAAAAAAAAATTTGGGACAAATCTACACAGACAATAAAAGTGTCTTTTGCGTTCTTAATGGAATTCACTGGCAAATAAATCAACAACCTGTTTGGTTTTGTCGATAAATATCAGCAAACCAATAATCAGTCAGTCGATCCTCGACGGCAGTGAGCCGGAGAAATAAAACCTGAAGTACCTTGGACTTCTTCTTCCTCATGCGGTGGATGCGGGAGGCAAGCTGCACCGTGGTCAGCGTCTCCATGTAGTTCGCCGGGGAGTCTGAGATGTGGGCTATCATGGTGGTTTGACAGTTGATGTTTCCCAGGGATTCACTGAGCAGCATGGTGAGCTTACTGTCCCTGAATAATACATCAAGAAACCCCTCGTTAGCCAAAAAAAAGGCCTGAGAAACCCCGCAGGATCCCAGGAACCATTCATTACCCTGACAGCAACAGTTGTGCACAAAAAGGAATAGAAATGATCTCTCATCTCACATTAATGAAGCCCACTTTGAACTACACACCACATGTGATCTGCAGTGAGAAATCCTGCCTTTGAAAAAACCTGATCACACACTGAATCTACATACTGCAATCTAAGCATCTTTATTCACTACTTATTCACTACGTTTTCCTTGCCTCTTCCGGATCAACCAAACAACTTCCACAATAAGTTTCTATTCAAGTTATGCACATTTGTGAAATTCTAGAAAATGTACTCTCAATCAGTGTTTACAACGTTTATATGAAAACAATTAAAATGATGGTTGAGATATGATATGAAGCGATATCATTAATTGAAGACAAATGAAAACATCCCTAACCCTTTTCTGTGTTTTTATCCTTTTCAAGCCTTTTGCATTAAGCTAGCTTCACATAGAGACACAGTTGTTTAGGAGAACCTAACCAGCTAGGCCGTACGAAGGGGTTTAGATATACCAAGTTCCAAAAACTGAACTTCTATTGTCTACCAATCAGAAAGACTATCAAAGTCCAGACCCTGACGACCTCGGTACATGCTCTCCAGAGGTGGTGGGACTCAATTACAAGTCAGGGTAGTGAGTGGACAATAATCTGAAATTCTGGCACCATTTTCTATGGTAACCTGTCCGTGGAGGTCTGCCACTGTGTGCTCAGCGAGGCGGATTTTAGAGGTAGTGCGATTGAAATACGAAGTCATACAATTAATGTGAAAATGTTTCAACTCCCAAAAAAATTTCTTTGTGATTTGAAAATCTGTTTAAAAAATGATCAAGTTTGTGTGTTCCTCTTATTCACAAGTTAAAGAAGAAAAAGAAGAAAACAAAACCCAATCTTATTTTGTCTGCCTCAGACTTTCTGGCATCTTTACTGCACAAACAGTAAATGAGCATAAAATCAGATGGAAACGAATCGAATGAATCAACAACACCCTAAAAACAGCTTAAAACCCATAGGGAGACATAAGTGAGGCACTGAGCCAGACAAAATGCCAAAATACAAAAATACAATCCTGAGAATAAAGACAGAGCTGCAGAAAGCAATCAGGCTGCATAACAAACACCCTGAGGACTGAACACGTCCATCAGCATTACACAGTGATTTATTCATCAGTCTAATCAACCATTCAACCGACTGAAAACCCATTAAAACAGAATGACTTCACTCCCCTCTGTCCTCACTGGGATCTCTGGTCCATCTGTTGTTTGGTCACTGTGACCTCTGACCCCTGATGGGTTCATTAAAATGCCCAGAGTGTGAGTCCCTACCTGTAGGGAACATGCTTGGCTCCGTTGGCGAGGGCGAGGATGACGTTTCCCAGCGCGGACAGAGACAGACACTGACCTCCGCCTCCCTCTCTGGTCCTGCTGATGTCCGTCTCACAGCTTCCCAGATCCAGGAGGTGGAGACGGCTCCGACCAGACACTGAGAGACACAATACAGCCTGTTTAACTGCTTGTCAACGATTGGTTGCTTAAATCACTGCTCAGTTCATTGATTTGGTTATTGACAGAATCTTACAAACAGTGAAGGAATATTCACTGCTGTTGTTTTACATTTCACTTAAAACATAAAAAATGTCTATGGACCCTGGTCTGTATGGGAACTGGAGCAGAGACTTCAGTGATTCTGCTCGGTGGATTTCTGTGAGCAAACATCGTCCCTGCAGGAGTAAATAAAAAATTACAGTTCTAGTATCAGAGGGGATGAGGTCTACAGAGGAAGGCATCAGAGACCCGAACAAGAGTACAGATGGAACACACATCATCAATGATAATATCAGTTTACCGACCAGAGCTCAGAGGTTACAGGTTTCATAAGTCCCATATCAGGCTCCAAGTCATGCGCCAGCCTAGTCCCGTTTCAGTCAATTTACAAGTTTGATGTCTCAAATCAAGGAAGGTAATCCCAAATCAAGGCAGGTAAGTCCCAAGTGAAGACCAACAAGTCCCAAGTTGAGTCCTCAATCAAGGTAGGCCTGGCTACAAGTCGGGTCCAGACTAAAGTGCACATTAAGGTACTACATTTTCAAGTCAAGCTCAAAGTCAACACCAAGTCCCAAATCAAGTCCTGACTCAGTTTAGAGGTCAAGGCCAGCAAGTCTGAAGTAAAGTCCCAAATCAAGGTTAGCAAGTTCAAAGTCAAGACCAGCCAGTCCCAAGTAAAGCTCCAAGTCATGACGGGAAAGTCAGAAGTCTCCAATCAAGGTAGGAAAGACCACAAGTCAAGTCCAGAGGTGCCACATTAAGGTTGGTCTACCTTAAGTTTTTTAAAAGGCTGAAGTCACTGGTTTTAAAGTCATAGTTCAAAGTCTTCTTGGATTATGATTATTAGATTCTCCTAAATATTAATATGCAAACCCATAAATAAATTTTTGCATTAGATGTTTAAAATATCTCATTTGAATCATTTTAAAAACATCTGTTTTTGTCACGATACAGGACTCTGACTCAGACAGATCAGCCTGATGTCTCTGTGCTCATTTTAACTGCCTGTTAATTTCATTAAGTCAGAGAAATGATGGTGTGAATGATCAACCACCCGCATCAGCAAGATTTAGAAACTGCTGAGAGTGGCTGAGTGTACAGTTTTATATCCGGTGGTCTATAAACACTGCAGGACACAGAGGACTCAGGCCTCATTAGCCATGCAGATTTATTCCAGCTGTGGATGGAGATGCAGAGAAACAGTAATAATTGTGGAAATGTCTCTGCTGTGACAGGTAGATGGGGGCAGAGGTGGCGTTAGCGTAGACCTTTCTGCTTGTTAATGTTGCTGTTGAGCAAGTCTGCACCTCCAAATGAAGCTTATTAGCGGCTACGTGTTTGTAAATGAGCCGCAGAGGGAAGAAGAGACTAACGGCTGGTGTGATTTCTAACATAAAACATTGGTACTCAACATTTCCAGGTTCTCAATGGGGCTGGAAAATAGACTAATACCCAAGATCCTCGGCTGCTGGTGCTATCGGACGTGTGAATCAGAGCGGCAGTGAATCCATCCAAAACTGACCCACAATAAAGGCATTAGTTTTCTCCACAGTGGGATTTAGCTTCAGCTCGCCGTTGGTTTGAAGCTCTGAGATTGGATGTTTGTTGGTGAAATGTTCCTTGGGAGTTGTAGTCGACTTCTGTCCTTCAGTTTTTATCTTCATTGATCTTCTATATTTGATTAGAACAACTCCACTTACAGACAAACCGACCTGCTGCCTTGTTGCTCTTGTCCAGCCTCTCCTGGTAGAGGTGCAGGGTGAACAGGAAGTGCGAGTTCCTCCGAGCCTCCTGGTCACTCGGCGCCCGGCTGCTCCTCCTCGCTGCCAAGGCGGCGTCCAGGAAAAACGCAGCTCGCTCTGCGTTGGTCGCCCGCAGCTCCGTCTGGTTCTGCAGCTGATGGAGGGAGAGATAATGAGACACGGCAAAGGTAGAAGCAACCCAGAGGGAACCGAGGATAATGAATCGTATTAAAATAAAAATGGTGCTGTGGACGAGGGTGAGAGGTAGACATATTTTAGTCTGTAGACTGGAGGTTTGCAAAGTCCGCCCCCTCAGAAACAACCCCCATAATTCATGGGCTGTAAACAGGAAGTGCTGCCATCAAGTCAATACAGGCGAGTCCAAAGTAAAGTTTATTAAAGTTATGGAGACGTCTCTTCTACAATGAAAAATGACGTGACTGAGAAAAACCGAGAGAACGATAACGGCTGAAATGAGACAGAATGAGGTTTGATAGGGAGAAAAAAAAAGTCTGTGTGAAGGAGAAAAATGTGGAGACAGAAAAAGAAAATTAAAGTGAGAGGAGATAAAAAAAAAATGTGGCAGACAGAAGGAGCCCGAGGGAGATAAAAGCGACTGAACAAGAATAAAAGGAAAGAGGTCAGAACTAATTGGACAGTTGTGGGCAGAGATGAAGTCTCTGGGGTGGAGGTCAGAGAGGAGGAGAGGAAGGGAGGACACAGTGAGATAAAGAGAATTTTCAGCAAACTGGTTTCTGGATCATGGGAGTTGTTGTCTTCACCACCATTGCTGTCATTTTATTTTGAAAATCTAATCACTGTGCTGCTACTCCCTCCTCCAGTAATGAGGTGGAGGGATGAAATATGGGGAGGAGGTGAAAGAATGAATGGAGGAGGTTTTCTCTACCTGAGATCCACAGAGGGGGTCTTCCTGCAGTGAGACCACAGGCCCCGAGGCCTCCTGGTGGCCCCCAGCTGAGGAGGAGGAGGGTTCAGCCAGGAGGTCGGTGAGCGTCTCCTCCCGACCGGAAATCTCCACGGCGGACACTCGGACAGAGAAACGAGCTCCACACTTTTCCCTCCGCTCCTCGATCACCTTGAACAGCCAGGAGACGGCTGTGGGAGCCACGCCCAGACTCTGGGTGGAGCAGTCCCGACCAATCATGGTGTACGTCTTACCTGGGGAGGGCGGAGCCAACGCAACAGTCACGTGACTTGTTCAAAAGTGTGTGTGTGTGTGTGTGTGTGTGTGTGTGTGTGTAGTTACCCAGGTTAGCGTGTCCGAAGCAGAAGATGCAGCCGTCCGCTCCGTTAACCACCGACTGGATGACCTCAGCCACCGTCCCCGAACACACCTCAGCCTATCAGGATCAAGGTCCAGTTAGTGTCGTCCAATCATGTTAGAGACCCAGAGAGGTTAAATACAGACTGTTTATTAAGATACAGTAAATAATAAAATGATAGTTAATGTTACATTAACATAAAACTCTCTAAATTAGCTTGAATTAGATTAAATTAGATTAACGTAATCTCATATATTTAAGTTATGATCCAGTAATTTAAAATGCTCGACTCAGGCTAGAAAAAAGGGCGCCGGTGCAGAAAGTTGTGAAGCATTTATGATGAAACATCTTCAGGGCCAGGGTTAGCATCACGAGGGCACTTCTGCAGCACTAACTAACTAATGAATAACATAAATTAGATAGCTAGTTCGGTAGCATTTTGCTAACATTAGCTAACGTAAGATGTGACTATATGTTTATCTCTTTATCTTTAAATCATCTTTAAAATGTGACTGTCTTTTCAACATAGATTAGCTTAGCATATAGCTATAGCATCTCTAAGCACAGGAAAGGAGGAAGTTGACCAAGGCTTGCTCAACTGTAATTGGAGCACAGAGCAAAAAAAGGGGAGGGGCTTACAATTGTGATGTATTTGGTCCGTAATAAGAGGATATAATAGAGTAAGAATACAACTTTGGATTCAGAATGAGAAGACACAACTCACAGAATAATTCTTTATTTTTTTCATTTTTTCATTGCCTTTATTTGAGGACAGCTGAAGACAGAGAGGAAAGGGGGGCAGAGAGAGAGAGGGGATGACACACAGCAAAGGGCCGCAGGTCTGATTCGAACCCTGGGCCGCTGCAGCAAGGTCTCAGCCTCGGTACATGGGTCGCCACCTCTACCCACTGAGCTAACCGGGCACCCCACAGAATGGTGTGATCATTTATCACATCCAGTCTGAACTCTGCAGGCGTCTGTTTCTCTTTTCTGTCACTGAGTTTTTTTTAAATAATTCTAATGTTTACATCTTCAATCTGCTTCCTCCTGACGTTAACCCAGTCTGATCTATATCCTCCTGTCGTCTGTGGCTAAACAGTGCTGCAGAGGTCACATCCCTGATGAAGAGCTCAGACGTTATTCAACAGATTCTCAGATTGGAAAGTTGCTACAGACTGATTATTGATCACATCCATGAGCTTTTTAAAATCAATCTGACATGTCTTCTTCGTTCAAAAGTGAAGCAGACCCAGTCCCATCTCACCTGTGAAGCATCCTGGGAGAAGACAGCGTCGAACATGAAGGTCTTTGGAGCAGAGGTCGAGGAGCGCCTCGGGGCAGCGGCGGAGAGTCCGCTGGCGGACGTCTCGCAGAGAGTCAGCTGCTTCTTCCTGCCGTCCACTTTGAGCGGGGACATGGACTCTGAGGACTCACTGCTGCGCACCGAACAGATCCGGACCATCACTCGGACCTGGACACGGACAGGAAGTCACCGTCTTTAATATCTCTGGCAGCAGTTAACGTGAAAATTAAATAACAGGACAATATAATAAATAAATAATTTGAAATGGAAACAAAAAGAAAACCTGCTGCTGGTCGAAGAGGAACTACAAAAAAAAAGTACCTTCTAAGAACCGGTTTGCTTTTCCACAAGCTAGAGAATCACAGCATTACGTCACTGTACGTCTCCGATGTTAGCGATTGTTACTGAGGCTATGCTAGCTGGCTAACTAGCTAGCATCTGATGTAACATTAAAGTTATGAACAAAACACTGATGTGAGAAATTAGTAGCTATGCTAGTTTGGATAATTTTAGCTAGCTGATTAGGCCCTCAACAAAAATAACTTTATCAATGTACAAAAACACAACTTTATTATGGCTGTACAGAAACACCACAACAGCTCTCTGCATTGTTTCATGAGGACTTCCGCTTGCTGTGTTGTGACTCTCTGATGGGTTTTTATTGGTCTGTCACAGAGCTGCTGAGTCTGCGCTTCGTGGCGGCGAGGAGGTCAAGTTTAAAGCCAATAACAATCTGAGACGCAGCAGTTTTTAAATGATGTGTCGCTATGAGTCAGCGGAGCGAATCATCACCTCCTCAGTGGCTGCAGCTGCAGACAGGAAGCAGCTGATCTCCAGTCAGTAAAATACACGCTGAACTTTAAATCCAGAAATGGTCTTTAATATATGACCCAAAGCTTGTGAACAAGAAACAGTACAGAATGTGAACTGTTACACCAAAGGAAGGCCTGTGTTTTAGTTCAGTTTTAGTTAATTAAAGAAAGAAAGAAAGAACAAAAATATTGATTTTGTTTCAGTCAATTCAAACACAACAGTGTAGAGTATCCTAGTACGCAGTGAGAAGTATATCTGGCTTTAGTGCGCTTTGTGGAGATAAATCAGAGGAAGCTGTTTGTACGAGTGACCGTTCAGACGACAGCGTCACAATGAGCAGCTATACAATCTGATCTCAGAGCAGCAGAAACCTCTGAGATATCTGAGCTGCACCAGGAATAGATCATTCTCATTAAAATGCTCTTTCATTTTTCTCTGCCGTTCAGGACCAGAGGTCCGATTAGGGGAGTTGGGGGACATCTAAACGTTGACTCCTGCAGATGCTAGTTGGATCAGAGTTGAAGAAGAATCAGGCTGATCAGATCCTGAAGATCTTTTCATGAAGACTTTGAAGCTGAACTACAGACGGGGAGTTATTAGAGGCTGCAGATGGCAGCAGGAGGGAGGTGAGGGAAAATGTTTCATCTTAAAGACCTGCCACTGACTTCAGTTACAGTTACAGGATGAAGAGTCCAGAGTGTCCAGAGAAGATCTGACATTATTGGGAATAACAGTCCAATAATAGAAAGTAAAGACAGTTTGAGAGAAACCTGGTTCCAGACCTCTGCACCACCATCATCTTCCTGCAGCCTTAGACATGTTGAATATCTGTGATGGAACCAGCAGCCATAAAGAACATGTAGATCTTTGGTTTGGATAAGGGCTGAGATTACAGAGTTATATATATAAAATAAATATTTGAAATCTGGTTGTATAGAAGGAGAAACTTTTCTTCTTCCCTCTAATGTCAAACAGTCACACACTACAGGATGTATTATTATTATAAGGTTTTTCTTACGTTCGCTGCCATCTTTCTCCATTTGGCGCCAGAGTCTGTGCAGTAGTGATCAGGGTTGGAAAATGATCTTGGTGAGCGGGTCTGGAGGTTAAAAATGGATCAGTAAACCCTCACATTACCAGATAAACTGTCCTGAACACGCCCTGCTGCAAGTAATCAGCACTGAGGCGAAGGAGGGAAGATCTTGGACATCTTTACCTTTAGATTTGTTAGTGTAAACTGAGCAGTCTGCTATAAATTGACCTCAGTTCACTGGTACAAAGAGAATTTATTGCCAGAGTGGGAACTATTTGGAAGCTGTAGATGGGCAGCCGAAATCTACCCACATATTGCCAGATTAAATACAAATATATTTGAATTTATGGGGTCTGGAGCTGTCAGGAGGTTGAGTGTGTCAGGTGATGTGGTTCTCTGAGCCACATGTGGGTCCAGGCGTCGGGTGTTGAACCTCTGCGGGTTCATCACTGAGCAGACGGCAGCAGATCTGGCAACAAGATCGACTGTGACAGCCGAGTGTCTGATCTGCAGCCAGCAGCAGAGTGCGAGTCTGTAAACACATTACATAATGTCAGCACACACCAGACTGATGCTGCCAGCGCCCCCCAGAGGCTGCAGAGCTCATCACAGTCTGAACTGTTCCTCCTCTGGAGAGCAGGAAGAAGATCAGATTTCATTAGTTAAAAAGCAGACGGTCTGACGCATTAATGGCAAAGGAAAGGAGGGTTAGTAAAAAGATTCCGGTTTATCTTCTGGGGGATCCGTACTGGGGGTCGGGATCTGGTCTGTATAAGACATTCAGCCATAGACAGAGACTGTGATTGTGTCCTCGCTATCAGCTCCTTCATCCCCACAACCCTGTGACCTCTCTCTGCCCACCAACCCCCAACCACCACAGACGGTTCCCACAACCTGCCGCCCTGCTGACGTATCAGACAGGATTCATGAGATTCCAGCAGCCTGAGAGCCAGCTGATCTACATCTACTGCACGGCATTCTGGGTAACAACGCAACAGCTCACCTTCCCCATCCCCGGCGCGTCCTTGACCTTTGACCCGGCCCGGAGGAGGCATGGTGGGACTGCGGGCGGGGAGAGCTGCAGGGCGCCGCTAAAGCCACCAGTGTAGACCAGGGGCCCCGGGGCCTCACTGGGTGGAGAGGCGGGGCCCGGCTGGGACTTCTTCCTGCGGGACAGACTGAGCTTCTGAGCCGCCCTGAAGATAAAAGACAAAGAGTCAGTCAGAGAGTTCAGAACCAACAAGTTTCTGATCGTTTCACCTCCATGTCTTATTACTATCGTTATTATATAATACTGATTCTCCTGTTTAAAGTTAGACAAGAGAAACTCATCACAGTGAATTTAGGATTTATTTAAACCAAAACAGAGTTGGAGATTGTTGAAAGACTAACAAAGACGGTTCTGATGAGTTTTAAGATCTGTGAGGTAAAATCAGTCGTTTTGTCTATGGTGGATTTTCAGTCATCTCAACAGTTTCCTCTTCAGCCTCCACCTGCCATCAGATAGGATGTTTGTTAGTGAAATGCACCATGGGAGTCGTAGTTAACGTATAACTCAAAATGTGTGTTCATGTTCACAAGCCTCTCCTATCTTTGACTTCTCACTGAAGAAGCAGATATTTTCTAACACATCTTCATCCAAAGTATAGAAGAGAGAGAACTGTGAACATCTGAAAGACCTCCTCCTGTTCCTGACTCTACACGGCCGATTTTATCCTGAAAGAACTGGAGCTGAGCTGAGGCTCTGATCAGGTTCAGAACACACACGGGAGGAAGAGGAGGATGAGGAGGAGGAGGAGGATGATGAGAAGAAGATGTGATCTCCTCCTCCTCCTCCTCACTGGGTCCAATCAGAGTTCAGAGGCTCTAATTACAGAGAGAGCCTCTGGGAATACACAGTGTGTGTGTGTGTGTGTGTGTGTGTGTGTGTGTGTGTGTGTGAACATTTATCACACACTAACTGAGGAAACAAACTGCAGCGCTGCAAGGTGAACGTGTGCTGACATTTACACTTCATCAATGGCAACCTGGAGAGTTGATTTAAGCTCCTGCCTCCTCTCTTCTTCTGTGGTGCTCATTGTATATTGTTCTGTGTTCACAGCTCTCGAGGTGGTCAGCCTCAATGCTAACCTTATAGTCACCAAGTGCTGAGCAAGTGTGGGTGGAATATTTAAGGCTTTTAAAGTAACTTCAACTTTGTGTCATTTCACATAAGCAAAAGTTCGGTTTCTGTTTTCTGCCATCTGTCACAGGATTATGGATTCACATGTAGCAGGTCTGTTGTAGGTTCATTGTACAGTTTAGTGTGAGGATCTGATCCACTTTGACAAGAACCACATTGTGATGGACGACTGGGTCAGAGCATCTCCAAACCTGCAGCTCTTGTGGGGGGTTCCCGGTCTGCAGAGGTCAGTACCTATAAAAAGTGGTCCAAGGAAGGAACAGAACCAGAGACAGGGTGATGGGGGGCTGAGGCTCATTGATGCAGGTGGGGAGTGAAGGTTGGCCCATGTGGTCTGATCCAACAGACGAGCTACTGTAGCCCAAACTGCTGAAACAGTTAATGCTGGTTCTGATAGAAAGGGCTCAGAACACACAGTGCAGAGCAGTCTGTTGGTCTGGGACCAGTCAGGGAGTCCAGTGCTCACAGTGTTTGGTGTATGAACAGACGCAGCGTGTAGCTCCTTCAAATTTCCTACGTTATTGTTTGAATCTGTTTTGGCTTTTTTGTTGAAACTCTGACAGAAATTATCTCCAGTCATCAGAAAAAGGAAGCGTGGAGTTTGGATTTCTTGATAATGTGAAATATCCATAAAGTGTCACTTTATCAGTTTACTCAATAACAGAAAAGGACTTCTTTAAGGGAAAATCTTGGAAACCAGTTGCCTAATAGAAGAAGCCATCAGTGAATGCAGTATTGTGCAACAGCAGCCCAAACTGCTGTACATTTTCCGAAATGATCAGCTGAAAACAAACTTTAACACGTTTATAAAGGAGGATTTACTGTTGGATTAAACTTAATCAGCTCAGTGGTTAGTGAGTATATAAATACTGTATATATAGTGTGTGAGGGCTGTTTCCACTTTATCGTCTACTGTACATCCAAGTTGAAGCGTTCAGTTGTTAAGAAAAAGCAAAAATTGAGCAGAAAAGAGCAGAAAGTGATTTATTGTTATAATGTGTTATTAGAGGGCAGATTAACTGGTTTCAACGATGCAGCAGGAGACAAATGGAAGAAAAATTATCTTTCTGTTAAACTCCGGTGCTGTTTCCTGTGAGGGTCTCAGAGGGTTAATAATGTGACTGTAATAGACAGCCTCCAACAGAAACAGCCCTCAGAGACCAATGAAAAGGGCAGTGACTTGTTTTTAAGAGCGATTCAAGTTTAAGATGACAGAATGTTATTTTATAACCTGACATTAAAGCTAACGCTGCCTATGATCTGTGAATTAACTCTCTTTATGGTTCAATCTTTATTTTTTACTCTCCACAGTATTTCTGTTCCTCTGAACCCACAATCCCTTAAATCTCAAGCTTGTTTGAAACCTTTAAAAATAAAGATTCCTCATATAACGGTGTTAAGTATCTCTCAAAAATACAAGAAATAGTTCAAATGAGACGAGATTTGTGGTGTGATACTCACAGTTCCTTCCAATCCATTATCTGCTCAAAGTTCTTCTCCTTGAAGAGGAACCAGGTCCAAACTCGTCCTCATTCACCATCGTAAAACAACCAGATTTAATCCAACAAGAACGGAGAATCACAACTCTACAGGAAGGAAACCTGATGAATACCATCGAGGCTGAGCGGCAACAGCGATGAAAGTTGTGTTTGATTGTGCAACATGGCAGCATGTGGAGCCAGAGCTGGATCGGAAAATTAAGATTTTCAGGATAAAACAAGTCAGAGATGAAGCGTTATCCAGTGAAAAGAAACTCAGACAGCTTCACAAAGGTTCAAGGAGCATTTTAGGAGGTTTAGACCAGTTTTTCAATCCAAAATCTGAAACAATGTTTCATAGCAACAAGTATCCAAAGGAATCCTGTCAGAATCTGATTGAATTAGTTGTTCCAGGACAGATTTTGATGGTGATCCGTATTTCTTTCTTTTCAAATAACTTATTTTTAATATATGATTTGTTTATCTTGATGTATCTTTGTGTTCTCACCAAAAATCTTCTCAATCAAATCTATGTCTTCAACAACAAACATCCAGTAGGATAATATCTTTAATCTGTCCATGCATCCAGTGAGGAAGTCTAAATCATTACATTGTCTCACCAAGGAATTTCCTTAAAATATTCCAACAGGTTTCAGTCTCACAAACATCAGAGGGTATCGATTCACTCTTAATGTATCAGTAAACTGAGCTCCCATCCATCAATAACTTCATCTGTAAAGTGATGTCTTGGTTATTCGAGTCTATGTCACCAAATTACTGAGGAAATCTGGGAGTGTGCCAAGACTTTTCTTTGTTCAGCAATCCAAACTACTTATAACCCTTAAACTTTTATGTATCGGTAAGCAGTTTCTGCAGCTGTATCCTTATTTCAGTTTCATTCTCACCAAAAAGAGAATTTAGAGTTTTCCGCAATTCAAAACCAACCAACGGTCCAAATGTATCCTTAAAATATCTCTAAACTGTACTATCTTCCTCATCCAAGACCTATGGGCATATGGGAGTTTTGCTCATTTCATCAACCAAATTTATTTGTACGTCTGCCAACAAACGTCCTATATTGATTTATCCGTAAAAGATCAGTGAACTCTACATCCGTCCACCAGTAACCTCTGAAATGCACAGTAAAGTCCTGTCTTAGTGACTGAAGTCATTCCTGACCAAAGCCTTCAGGAAATTCCTCCAAGACATCATTTGGTTGTCAATTAAAATTACTCGAATCACTTAAATTTTAACGTATCCGTAAAGCTTATTTTCAGAATTTGGGAGTTTTCCAAGACTTTCCTCAGTCCGTCAATCAAAAATACATCCAACAGCCCAAATCTGCCTTTAAAATATCTCCGTCCTCCCATCAGTGACTCCTTTGATCATCTGTAAAGTCTCTGACCAGAGTTCTTCCCACCAAACCTCTCAGGGAATTTGTTGCTAATATTCCAACAGGTTTCAGTCCATTCGTCAATAAAAACAACGTCCGTCTCGCTTCATTCTTCACACGTCAGTAAACTTTCCATTTCTGTCCGTCTGCGTCCTCGTGTTTCATCTCTGACAGGAAGTCTGCTGGATCGGAGTCGGTCCGACCAGCTGGAAGTTTTCAGGGAAAAACGAGTTGAGTTCCTGTTGAAACATCATCCACAAAGAAACGGAGGGAAGTCCTTCAGAGGATTGTGGATGTTTAGTTCAGTTTGTATCCGACTGCATCCTCAAGCCAAACGCTGCACCAGATCTCCACCAGAAAACCCCAAATATAGATCCCTGCATCCGTTCTTGCTCCGGTTTTCTTTCTATTCTTCACTTTGTCTACCTCTTTTTCATCCTCCCAGTCCTTTATTCCTTATTCCTCCTGCTGTTTTCCTGTCATTTGATCTTTTTCCCTCCCTTCCACCTCTTTTTTCTACCTTTACTTTAATCTTTTCTTCTATCTTAACCTCTTTCCTCTTCCTTTATCCCCCCTTTTCCTCTCACTTCACCTAATCTTGTCTCTTTTTTCCATCCTTTATTTGTCCTCCTTTTGTCCATTCTACCTCTCTTCTTCCTTTCTGATTTTCTCCTCCTCCTTCCTCCTCTCCCTCTCTTCTCTCCTGTAGCTCCTCAGTCTGTTCCTGCAGTATCGCAATGCTTTCCCTCCCCACCCCTTCCTCCTCCCTCCTTCCTCCTCCTCCTCCTCCTCCTCCTCCTCCTCCTCTAACTCTGAGAGAGAGAGAGAGAGAGAGAGAGAGAGAGAGAGAGGGGATGAAGGGAAGCAGCAGCAGAGGAGGAATAAAGGATTAGAGGTAGAAATAAACGAGTGAATGAAGAGCGGGTGGATTCCTGCCTCTCGTTGCCGTTGTTGCCGGGAAACACTGGCGATGCTCCAACCTCTCTCCCCTCCTCCCCTCCCCTCCCTCCTTGCGTCCGTCCGTCCGTCTGCCTCGCTCACCTTCCCTCCCTCTCCTCCCCCCTCTCTCTCTCTTCACAGCCCTGCCTCCTCGCCGTGTCGACACACAACAGCCATGAAAACACACACACACACGCACACACGCACACACGCACACACCACAAAAAAACACACACACACACACACACACACAGACACACGCATACTTGACATGCTACATGAATACTTCATGAGATGACAGACACCCCCATCACTCCCCCATCACTCCCCCCACTACCGGACTTCAAAGACTAAGTGTGTGTATGTGTGTGTGTGTGTGTGTGTGTGTGTGTGTGTGTGTGTGTGTGTGTGTGAGCAAATTGAAGAATGGAAATAAATAAAATGTTTGTGTTTATTTTTAAGTTTCCCGTTTTATGGATAAAACTTGCTCTCTTATCAGACTCTGCTCAACATAAATATTATTATTATTTATTATTATATACAACAGTTATTATTATTTTATCATCTGATCAGAATCAGAAATACTTTATTGATCCCGGAGGAAGATTTGTTTATTTTCAGTTGCTCTCAATACATATAAGAACGGTAAAATATGTTTTATATTACAATATCCAACAACTATATATAGAAAATATTAAAATAGAAAACTACACTCAGAGTCTGACGTTTGTTCATTATAATAAAATATATAGAAGATAGGAATATGCTACAGTACAGACAGAAGAGCTGGATAAAGAAATGCAGTATTAGTGACAGAGTTACAGAGAGCAAAAAACCCTAGAAAGGAAATTTATACTAAATTATTTTCATACAATCCAACATGAAGTGTCTTAAACCTGTATTCTATGTAATAAGGCCAGCAGGGGGAGCTCCACTCTGATACAATTCAGTCTTATGGAGAATGAGACGAGTTCTCAGTTGATTTATGAGCTCAGTAAACAGTTTCCTGATGAGTTTCTGGTCTCAGTCTCTAGTTTCAGTCTTCTTCCATACAGCATGATGTTCATTTAGTAACTGATGGTCCCATTTAGAGTAAAAACAGACCATAAAGCAGGGTATGCTTTAGGGCGGGGCTACCTTGTGATTGACAGCTCATTCTCAGTGAGTCCACAAACCAATGGGTGACGATTGGGACAATGACAGGGAATAATGGTTCATTCTGTCGAATCAGGTCCATACATTCATTTTCCAGCACTGTTTGTCAGTCTCAGGTAATCGCTCTTATTTTGGGGAAAACATGAAACGTAGCCACATTAGCAACAATGCTAATAGCATGAGAACACTGAGCACTAAAACTGAAATGCTCTTTACATCATAATTGTGTCTTTATTCTTGAGAACGCCGACGTTGGCCCTAATTATATATGATAATTAATGAAATGGTAAAACTGGTGGAACGACTGGTCCTGAGTCAGTTTTCTTTCATTCTGACTGCAGCTGATCATCAGCTCTCTGCAGGCTAACTCTGACAGATTCCCTCAGGCTGCTCACCTCGTATTGATCGGTGTCTGGTTCAGAGTATTGATCGGGACTGGACTGGATATGGATCTGTGGATCCTGGCTGATTGATCGGCTCAGGATACTTTCACTCTCTCTCTCTCTCTCTGCAGATATCTCTCTAAAGTTTTTCTTGCAGCATTGATCTGCTCCTCTGATCTCTCATCATCTGTCCAATCATACTGATTTATTGATTTTCTTTATCACCCCTGAACCTGTTTACTCACAGACCCACAGTCCGGGGGAAATGAGGGAATGTGAAGCTAAATGTTTATTTTCAATGTGAGCATCACATCTGAATGTACGTTGACTGCATAACAAGGTGAGTTAGGTCAACCAGTAACGGCCGAAACCAAAAACTGCCTCCAAGAGATGCAACTCTACCACAAACAGACATAAAACCGTCACAAAGAGACATAAAGAGACATAAAGAGACACAAAAAGACGCTGTGGATGCTGACAGTCTTGAGTTACGAGCTTTAGAGTCACTGCTGATGATAAAACATGTCAGTGGATTCTTCTGATTGGACAGAAGTTACATTTTTAGAGTGAAGCTCGCTGTGATTTATATGGGGCTTGAACTGTGATTAAAACCATACATATAGTTGCAGTTTGCGGAGGTGGGTGTGGTTTACAGTCCGCTGCAGGAGAGAGAGATGGTGCTCAGTGAGTTATCACTCTCTCTCTCTTAATGCAACAGTGTGTGAGTTGGCCGCCACACACAGACCAGAGAGGGATGGGGGATGAAGAGGGCTAAAGAAGCCTCAGAAACAGTCAGAAAGCTGAGTATTTGTGTTTAGGTTGTGTGCGGCAGAGGAAATAATACATTTGTGTTAATGAATTGATCAGTGGTGCTTGATAGTTTTCTGGGGGAACCTATGGTTGCAGAGAGACCTGCTGCACAGTTTAACAGAATGTAAATCACACTGTAAACAGTCTAATTGTGAAAATAAAGGACGTCTCTGACGGCAGTTCAGGCCTCGTTAGCCTGGACAGCCGTTAGCTTGTCGGCAGCTCTGCACCATCAGACTTCACCCTCCTGCTAATTATCCTGCCACATAACAGACACTCTGCACGTCTAAACTTAGACTCTCTGTCCTCCACCTTCTGCTGTCTGCTGACGAAGCTGCGCTGACAGAGCGAGGGTTCAGTTCCCACAGAGATGTGTGAGCGAGCAAGGCACCAACAACTCGACAACGACAATGTTCACATTATTGTGTCCAGCTCCATCTACATTTTCTTACATTAACATATATACTTTAAAAAGAATGGTGTGTGCATTGTGCAGAATATGCATGGAGAAAAAGTAATTATCAAAGAGGGAAATTTTATTGATTGTAAGAATTGGTATTCAGCAGACATTCCTCCACTTTTAAAATAAAGCACAATCTAATTCAGGAGGTCTGACCGAGCAGAGACTCAGATGGATGTTTCAGCCTGAGGAGCTCTGCTGGGAATCGAACCCTCAACCCTGAGACCATGTTAATACATCACTGCAGTGAGAGGTCAGTGGGCTGCCTGGGGGGGGGGGGGTTTGCTGAAGAGTAATGTGACCCACATCCAGAAAAAGCCTCAGTAAGCGGGGCATCCTGCTGAGACAAACCTGGATGTTTGATTTCAGGAAGCAGCTTTAATCCACCTGAAGATGACTTTTCCAGCTTGGCGTCTCGGAATGAGCTTCATTCTCTCTCACTGAACCTCATCTGGTTGTACAAAGTACAAAGTTTAAAATCATTGGACCCTGAAAACGAAAATGAAAATTGCAATAGCCAGTTTGGACCAGTAGAGTCGGTTGCTGTGCATGTTTATGGCATGATATGTAGAATTCAAATATTTTACACTAAAATCTCAAAATCAACACGACTGAATTGTAGTATTTAAGAACTTACAGATTTAATTTATAGAGCTTTGCTGTGCTGTTCATCAGTTTCTTTCACAGGTCACAGCCTTCGACCCCCACGTACCACCAAAACAAATCCCCCCTAACTCTTCTTTACAAGGTCACGTCGCTGTGTCCTGAGATCAGCGCCGTCCAAGACAATTGTGATTGGTTTAAAGAAATACAAATACAGCAGAATGATAATGGGTCCATCCAGCGCTGACCAGGGCTCCAACAATGTGTGGAGACCACAAGGAGACGTGGATGTCAGGACAGTGTTTGTGGCCCCTGAGGCTGGATCGCAGAGGGAAATAAATGAGATCCCACTAAAAGTTATCTGTGCCTTCAGATTCCTCTGAATGATTCCTCTTCAACGTCTCATTTAAGCAGCACTGGATCAATCAATGCGTCTTCAGTAAAACAAGCACATATCCGAACTGACTGATGGTAGACAGACAGAGTAAAAGACAAATGAAGGGACTATTGGGAGGGAGTTCTGTGCTGAACTCAGTGGGCAGCAGCTCGTGGAGTCAGACCCTGTGTGGTTAATAATCCTCCTGGTTGTTTTCAGGAGGTGTTTTGGTGCATTGCTGCTGCAGCGGTAGTGATGCAGTGAGTCTCACACATTCAGCAGAGAGGCTCTTCAGTCCAGGATGTCGATACAGAAACTCGGGCCGGAAGCCAGAAAGCCACTTTGGGGAACTCGAACCTCCTCAGTGGGGATCTGGAATTAATGTGCAGTTCATTTGGGGAAATATTCTTGTTTTAATCACACAGGGCAACAACGAGCTCAAAGATCTGCTTGATGAAAACACTCTCTGACCTCTGACCTGACCCACAACTTCTGTCTCCAGACCTCCGCACAAACCACAGCGAGCTCTCCCTCCATCCTCTGAATAATGGACGAATTCATCTTCATCTCTTTGCTCCTTTTGAAGGAGTTTGAAGCTGAATGTGGGATGAGCTTCGTCGTGGGGAGTCTGTGTTTCATGTGAGACGACATTCAACTTTAATGTTTTCATGATCTCAGAGAACTCTTCCTCTCTTCTGTTCAAAGGCACCCCATCCTCCTCTTCGTCCTCTGTGCTCTCTGTACCATGAACAGCAGCTAATGCATACCATATCAGCTAGGGGAGGAGGGGGGGAGGGTCTGACTGGTGACTTTGACACTGTGGGGGTTTGTCACCGATAATTACAACTGAAGCGTTTAAACAGAGACGTGGTGAAATCAGCCAAACCTCCTGGACCAGCCGACACCTCCAAACACCCCCAGAAACCCCTGACCCTCGAAGCCCGGAAAAATGCCAAAGACAGCAATTTATATGTAAGGATGTGTGGAGCCCATTGCTGTGGTAAGAGTTAGGATCGTAAAGATTCACTGATACCAGTCAGAAATCAGTACGTGGACCCCTGGATCGAGCTAAATGTACCATGAACCAGTCGATTGTTCACTTCTAAAGTCATGAATCTGTTGATGAAGCTTTGCTGCTAACAGCGTCTCAGCGTCATCTAAAGTTCTAAATACAAACAACAACACGCAACATATCAAACAGTGTATAAAACAGAGAGCATTATAAAATGAGCC